ATTATAAAGAATATAGAAATTATAAAAAATATAGAAATTATAAAGAATATAGAAATTATAAAGAATATAGAAATTATAAAGAATATAGAAATTATGAAATTACAAGATTTATGGAAATTATAAGAATTTCCAATCGTAACAATGGTTATAAGTAAACAAAATTATCTTTGCACTTCTATTGCTGTTGGTTTTGTTGGATCCAGTTTTTCTTTGTAATTTTTGCTTCACAAAGGGAGCACCAAAAATCTGTCATTGGTCTGTGATTTTTACTGATGAAAATATTCACGAGATAGGTGATAGTAATTGTGTTCACACAAAAGTATATAATATAAGTCTTTCTAAAATACAAGTTTCAATGTCAAGTGACAAAGATTGTATTTATAATTATCACAAGTGGAGCTTTATAAATAATATAAATAATAATTCAATATGTAATGAATTATTATAACAAGAAAAACAAGAAATTAAATAGGAATAAGATAATTAAAATAATCAGCAGTCTGATCTATTCTTTATTATTGTCAAGACCAAAAATAAAGTACAAGATATTTAATTTTCTATGTTAAATTATATTTATTTAAATACATGTTAAAGTAATACAAATCTACAAGATTTGTAACGATGTAAAGAATCAATAAAATAATAAAGCTATAACATGCATAACGCCAAGAAATGATAAACATAATACAAATTAATCTAAGTATTACAATTGAAATTAGCAAAACATTGATGTTACATTAAATAAATTAGATGAATTAATAATCAAAATTAAATAGATTAATAATTAGAAATCAAGAACCAATAAAATATAATAACTAACAATTAATAAAAATTGCATAATTAATAAATAAAATGATTGGTGATTTATAATATTACTAGATGTAAATAAAAGATAATTAAAATAAATTAATAAATAGATAAATAAATGTTTATAAATAGAAATTGATTGAATATCACTCGGGATCTGATAATATCTTATGTCAGATGATCAAGTAAAAGAGTGAATGGTGACAATATGGACTTTAAAATTCTAAAACTTTTTATATAGGAATTATTTTAAAAAATCAGATCAGTAACTTTGTAAAGCTTGTCATGAAAAATATAGTTGTCAATCAGTTTTTTAAAATAACTCCAGAATAAAAAGTTTTAGGCTTTTAAAAATGCCCGATTTTTTGCTCACGTGATTGTCAGGTATAGATTACTTAAACCATACATCATTTTATTTTTATATACGTTTTCAATTACGCGTTTTGGTTATACAAATTGACGATGTTAGCTATTTATAATTTGTGTTTCTAGTATATCTCTTTGATTAGGAGAGTGACAAATATTAGTTAATATTCTTTGGGGGGGGGGGTGGCCAAATCTTATTAATATAATTTCACGTATGTTAAATGAAATCTCAGGAGAGGATATCAGCTAATATTTGTCACTCCTCCCTCTGACCATAGTATCCCTCTATATAAAATACGCAAAACATGTATTATACCCTGGGTATTTAGCTCACGAAATGCGGTAAGCTCTACAGATAACTCATGTAATATAACTATAATACACAACAGGTTTCACGGGCGCGTTTATGGTTCCATTTACATGTATTCGTTATATCGGAATTTTATTAGAAGTGACTCCAATGTGTATCAATCACGCTTTATAAGAGAGAAGAGTGTTATTCTTTTGTTGCCACAATGTCGAACCAAAATGAATGTGTAAATAATTACGAAGCCTTAGTTTCATACCCAAACCATAACGAGGCCTTGACTTTGTTAAAAAGGATTGCCTCCTCTGTATTTATCATTTTTCATTTTCACTTTACTGGCTTTGTGTAGACGAATTAACAAATGAGAATTTGTCGCGACTTGAAAATTCGCACCATTTATAGGTTAAGCCAATAATGAAAAAGTATGGGTGGCGTGTCGAAGTTTTGAATGAGTTTTTTCCTGAAGATCCAAAGTTACTTGGTATATATGTTCTTCTATTTGAATTTACGGCATTCTGAGTTTAAATCTCTCGCTTGACGTTGTGTTACTTTCAAAATAATCCATTTTCAAGCGTAGACGATCTTTTTATATACTTAATCTAAAGTATATCCTTTCAATTGACAACAGGCCTAAATGAAGATTACGGCGCGAAGATATTTATTCGACTACGGGTAGCACATGATGATAGAAGATTTTACGAATTTGATGATTTAATTGGGACCATGTTGCACGAGTAAGGAATTTATGTAATTACAGTTAGTGTGTTTTTTGAGTAAACATTTCATACTTTTCTTACATTTTCGTTAGATTGACGCATATTGTTCGCGGACCACACGACGCTGAATTTTATAAAATACTAGATAATTTGAACAACGAGTACGATGAACTGATCATGAAAAGTTACACTGGTGAAGGTTTCTTTAGCATGGGTCGTCAATTGGGAGGAGTTTTAGTTCATGCCCCGAATGTGCCAATAGAAGTAGCGCGAAAAAGAACTCTGGAGGCATGTGAAAACAGGCGATTAAAGGATCAAGTGATGATGAAAGGAGGTCAAAAGTTAGGCGGGGGTAATCTTTGGAGTGGATTGTCATTGTGTGAGAAAGCTGCACTAGCTGCCGAAAGAAGATTGAGGGATAATATTTGGTGTGGGTATGAGGGAAATCATGGTGAAGGGAGGAGTAGTGGATCACGTAAAAACAATAAAACACCTACTATTACTTCTGCTCGATCACCCGCTTCACCATCATTATCAGACTCAACAGAATGGACATGTATTTCTTGTACATTGGTGAACAAACCTTTCGCCCTTCAATGTGAAGTTTGTGATGTCAAACGTCCCACAGATGTCCCAATTTCTGGCCTGGACGCTCAAAACATATCATCAGTCGCTAATACGAATCAAAATGTAGTAGCAATAGATAGACACTTTGAAATACATAAGTCTACTTGGGCCTGTAAACGATGTACTTTTGAAAATGCCCGTGATGTGATTATGTGTTTGGGGTGTGATTATCTGTTGGAAGATAAGATATCGTGAAATTTAGCGAAAATTAGTTTTCGAACTTTATATTTATTGCTGTATTTCTATTTCTTTAGATCATATAGCAGGATGATGATTGAAACAGACTAATATATAGAATAAACTATCCACTATACAGTATTGAAAATCTCACATTTATTTATTTGATTAAAGCGCTTCATCAAGTCGAATCAACCTCTTAAATATAATGTTACCAAAAATCTTAGCGTATTTTATCAAACATCAAAAACTCTACAAAATCTCACTTTCTTCTATATTCATTCTATTACAAATAAATCAGTGAATTTCAGAAATCGAGCAAGTGCTTGATGCTATTATATATTAATATGAATCTATATACAAATAAAAAAGACATCACATCCTCTGAAATCATGTCAAACCCTCTTTATCACCATCATCAATCATCAAAATTTACTGAACATCCCACTTTTGTGAATGTGCGAATTTTTGTGCTTCGTCATTTCCCATTCTTGCCGCCTTAAATATTAGACTTTTGGCCTGTACTGTATCCTTTGTCAACCCTCCCCATCCTTTAAAGTAGCAGACACCTAAATGATACATTCCGAGAGGCGTCTCTTTCTTTACTGCATCGCGGAAAAGTGCTACAGCTTTATGCCGATCTTTGGGTCCTCCCTTACCCGTTAAATATATATACCCTAACATGTCCATTGCATCACCATTATCATCATTCCTAATGCGTACAACAATTAATCATAGCATATTAATTTTTATCCAGCTATAAATATTATAAAGCCAACCATCTAATAATAATTAAGTACCTTGCTCTTTCAAAATATTCTAATCCCTTAGCAAAGTCTTGCGTCACGCCTTTTCCATAATAATAATATTCGCCAAGCCGATAACAAGCATGCGAAAATATCTTCTCTACTTTTACAAATTCTTCACGTGCTTTTACCCACTCACGTACTTTATGATGTGTTTCACCATTATCCAAAATTTCCATTGGTGAAGGCCCCTCATCATCATCCGAGACATCCGACAACGAAAGACTAGTCTGCAAAGGTGCTGATAAATATTTTGGATTCTCCTCTGCCATTATTACAGATTCCAATTCCAAGTCTGGTAGTGGTTCTTCCGTCGTGATTGACGTCTCTAATTCTTCAGGGCGAATAGCTTCGAGGTGGTTGATAATTTCTTTGGTTGAGAAGCGTAGCTGTGGGTTATGATGTATGCAACTAGTAAATACATTTGAAATTGCTGGTGGAATGTCAGGATCAAGTGAGAGCTCTTTTCCTTCCTTTTTTCTAATATTGTAGACTGCATCCAATTGAAGTCCTTGCCATGGGAATTTCTCGGTTATAATCTCATAATACACAATACCAAATGAATAAACATCGCAGGCGGCTGTGAAAGTTGTTACATCATCTCCAAGACGTTCAGGAGCCATCCAACGAATTTGTTCTTCAAAATAATCGACTTCTCCCAAACTTCCTACGCTCATCCAGCGTGATTTCCGGAAACTCGTGATTCTCGGTCGATAATGATTATCTATAAGTATGTTACCACTATTAATGTATTTGTGAAAAATTCCTGCTTCATGAAGATATGCGAGACCTATGAACACAATTTGAAATAAGTATTTATAGGTTCTGCATTTAACATAAATTAATAGAATATAGAGTCATCACTAATTTACCTTGTGTAATACCTAAAGCTATCGCTCTTTTTTTACCCCAATCACCTTTTAAATCTCCAGCTGCGATCAATGACTGAAGATCACCATTTTCACAATACTCTAATACAAGTGCCATAATCCCACGTGTTGATGTTGTTCCTATTAATTTTACGATGTTTGGACATGGTGCCAGCTTTTTTAGATAGGCAACTTCAAGGGAAAATGATTTCATTTCATTAGGGTTCGATTCCTTTGCTCTGGTTGCTTTAACAACAGTTTTAATAGCTAACGGGTGCTTATTTTCGTCCACAGTATGATATGTGGCGGTAAAAAGTCGATCCGTTTTGAATTGCTTCCAATCAGAAAAGACAATCGTTGGTATATTTGTTTGATTTAGTATTTCTATTGCGGAAGCTTTTAAACGTTGATCGCTTCGAATCACATCCAACGATTCTTTTACTATCGTATTCAACTGTTCAAAAGCGACTTTGTCTTCTTCATGCCATACACGATGTGTTTCTTCCCAATCTTGACTATCAACGTACCGTCGAATATTGAGCGCGAGATTCAGTCGATTACAAGCCTGGTCCAATCGCTCTTCGATATCCTGAAACTCCGCAGCAAACTTTCTTGCGTGAAAAATTTTTAGACCATACTTTGCTTCCGCATGTTGCTTCACCACAGCACGTCCATCCTCCAATACAATAGCGAACGCTTTTAACGCTGTCACAAAATTTTTATCTTCAACCTCCTTTGGATTCGAATCTAATTTGTCTAACAAATCTTTGGCGGAATCACGAGCAATTTTCATTTGCTCGCCAAGACGTTTACATTCTGCTTTACAATGTCTTGCGGTTGAAGCGAACGTCACAATGTCCTCTACGAGAAAGGCAATGTTTCCGGTTAATATAGCGATAACTGTATGGTTCACAACTTTGCCTACTTCGATTGCCGTTTCAATATAGTTTGGTAGTGAGACGCTTAGTTTCTCTGTTAGTCCGAAACCTATATGAAGTCCTCCACTAACTTGCACTGCAGGAGATTTAGCATCGAAGATATTAAAATCGTCCATTTTATTTATTTTATTTTAAATATAGAAAATAGCATTCAAAATATAATTGAGTTTTTTGCTTCGCTCCAGTTAACACGTCGTTAGTGAATTTTAGAGAGAGCTTGTTTAATGGCAGAAAAAACTCTGTGCCATGGACTTCCGAAGAGCCATAGTGAATTTTTGACTGAAATCAGGTTATACGATTGGGGGTAACGCGCGATGATGAAAGAAGATACATTTGTGGTAGATTTAGAGGATGATCGTAGGTCATTACCAAATAATTATATCACAAAGAAGATTTTACTTTTGTAGTTTCATACGCGTTGATGTGTAACACGTAACATGTGTGTGGCCAATCAGAATTGAGCCATAAGACAGAATAATGAACAAATTTTTATCGCAAAAAAATAATAATGGTCGTACGTATTCGTCTTGCGCGACATGGCATTCGTAACCGTCCCTTTTACCACATAGTAGTCGCTAATGCTCGGTCAAAACGCGACGGAAAACACATTGAAAAAGTTGGAGAATTTGACCCGATACCCACTAGGGACAGGCAAAAACATATTGTGTGGAATCAAGATCGCATAAAGTACTGGTTGAGTGTTGGTGCGCAACCGAGTGATCCTGTTGCTCGTCTTTTAGCGAAGGTTAGTTGGTGCTAGTACAGTAGCGCTGGTTACAGTAACATGATCGGGGGAGAGTTTTTGGTGATGTTATTATATCCAAATACTATTAATGTTACTTTATCCAATATAAAAAATTTTTTTGTACCAAGCAAATCATATTATGTTATTATAAAGAATGTTACTGTAACCAGCTCTGACTGTGGTTAGAAATTTATATAGCAAGAAAGCGAAGGAATGAATGACCATTTTTTACTTAGGCTGCACTTATACCTCCTTTACCAAGACCATGGCTGAAAATGAAAATGGGGTCCACTAAAACCGAGTAGTTTCACGTGACTAGATATTCGATCAGGATTAAGTCATGTGACACAAATTTAATAACAACCAATAGAAAATTTCTTCGTAATAACAAAAAAAAGCTTTCGGTATATGAAAATATTCAGCTGATTTTATACGTGTAATATATATTTGAACCTTGAAATTTCTTCGTTATACTAAAATATTCGCTATACAAAAATATTCGCTATATACAAATTCACTTAGAATGAAAGTCAAACCACGATATAACAAAGTAGTTGGAATTTTTAGTCTAATATCACGATTAAAATTGTAAAGCTCTTTATTACTTATCAAAAAATTGGCGGTTGAACCCCTATAGTGTAACATAACCAACACCGCCGTGAAATTCGCGACAAACCAACAAAACTGAGAAACTGGACGCCTTGCCAACACCAAATACACTAGGAGAACCTAGCATAACCACATCACTGGCACGAACCAAACCGGAAACCGGTCGCGAAGAAACTGGGCCTCACCAATCCACTAGGCATAACCAACACCACCGGTGTCACCAACAAAACGGAACTAGTCGAAAATAACAACAAACTCGCTTCTAACAAGCAACAAAAACACTCTATACGAGCTAGACCAAACTTACCTGGCCGGAATTTGGAACCACGACTAAAACGTTCACAAAATGACCAGCAAAAAGTGTGAAAACCAATGTACGCGGATAATCATGAATATATATATTTTTAATCTGGATCAGCACTACCCGGATCTAAAGGCGTCAAAGAAATCAAAGTCTTATTTTGTCCGATAAATTTTGATTGAAGGATCTGCACACTAAATTAGTGTTTCCCCTGAAAGTGCCTAAAAAGTCCAAGTAAAAAAGATCTTTTGATAATCGATAATTTCAAATGGAATTGAGCGAATAATATAGACAATGTAGACAATGCAAATAATACAGATTCAGACTGTTTTCGTTCTCAGATTCATTCACTCAACAATAACAATGAGATGCGATAAATTTTTTGATGAAGTGTTTTAGTTTGTTTTTATTCTGAAAAGATTTAAATTTTTTCAATTGTTTAACGAAGGATTTTTCGAGTTAATTTTCTAGTATTTTTTCAAAAACTTTTAGAAATTTTTGAAATAAAATAAAAATACGTAAAAAAATGATAAGATGGAATGTGATGAGAGAGATAGAGAAAAAATAAAAAAAAATAAAATGGAGATAATAGTAATGATAAAAGGAGAAAAAAGGATAAAAAATAATATTTACAGTTCCAAAACAAAAACACGTGTGTTATTGTAGAGTAGGGGTGTGGGTGAATAAAAATAATAAAATATTTTTTTTGATGTTTTTTGGTTCATATAATCTATTTTCCTCTGATTTTCTTTTCTTCTAAATATTATGGCGAATCGGATTTGAAAAAAACGAAGATTTATAAATTAAAAAAAAAGTCGTGTGTTGTTCATTTTTTAATGGAGCACGAATGAAAAAATGACGAATGGTTTGTTTGAGCGTCCCTTGATGTTTGTTGAATTAAGGGAAATGAATTACGAGAGCGTTCGTTAACGCGAGGTGATTGTAATTGTTAGAATTGGAAATGCGGGATTCTTTTTTGAAAATGCAATAAAGATTAATAAAACATCTATCGATAACGTATCAAATAAAATTAAGAATGCAAATTTACCGATGATGGTTTCATTGCCGATCGGTCGTACTTTTCTTTAGAAAGTACAGTCTATAAATAATCGACAATTCGACCAAACGTTGCAAAACTCAATTCCGAAACCGCGAAACAAAAAGAATGTCAAGTAATAAAGTTCTGATTTGTCGATAACGGAAATAACGGAAAATAAGGTTAGTGTAAGATTACATAAAATCTAGCACAATTGATAGTGATCGTCATTGCATCCGGATATTGTGGGGAAAATCGATGAAAATCTTACCTAATTAGCGAACTTATTATTTGACAGCAGGATTTGATGACAAAGCAACAAAAAAAGTTGTATAGATTGAGATAGTAATTGATTGTTGTGTGGGACGTGCGTTTATTTTGTTCGGGGAACTTGACAACGATGATAATTAAGAACAGGTGTGGAAACAAGATTATTTATTTCCGCAACCCAAAAAAAAACCCTGTTCAATAATTACTCGTGTCTTTTGAACGAGACACCCGAACAATTGATATTTAGAGAACTATGATGATTATGAAAAAATTGTCCCATGTTGCTTGTCATCGAAAGATACGAATGGTTGTTGTGACATGTTATAAAACGAAAAATTATCGAATTATCGAAAACGAAAAAAAAATATTTGACGTAAAAAAGATGCGACTTGGATAGTTAGTGTGTGCGGTTTCTGAGTCAGCACGAAAACGAAAGGGGGTGGGGGGGGGATGGTGAAGATATAACGGAAATTTGAGAGCAACAAGTCCATAGAGTAAAAAAAGCATATGAATGATGTGGTGATTTTTAAAGAAGGCCATTGTAATGAATAATGCTCTTCTCTAGCATAATTTTGGTTTCGGTATGACTCAGAAACCGCACACCGAATGGCGAGAAGAGGGAAAGAAGGAGAGCGGAAATTTTGGTAAAGTAAGTGGTGAGGAAAGAGAAATCGTCAATAATAAGAGAAGAATATCCTCTTTTGACCCGAACAAGAGAGAGGAAAATTCAACTCTAATGTATTATGTCCGATTCCTAACCTGTTTTTCCATCAACTTATATTCTTTCCCCTTTTTATAAGAGATTCATCATGGATACACCTTCCGTATATATGATACCATTGATGGTTAAACTTGTTATTTGGCACCTCTCCACCAAAACCAAACCGGTTTCTGCGATTGTCAAACCTGAAACGGCATTCTCACGGACAACAAAGCGCACACCCCATCATCATGATCCTTCTTGGCCAATTGATAGTTACAGACACGACATACTGTTGTCGTAACAAATAGACATACACTGTCACATTATAATGTATAACAATAAATTAAAAAAAGCCTAATTTTTTGACAGGACGCGATTTTCTATTTTTTTTCAGTTAACTCGTTTCTATATTACTTAATTCCACCTATTCTTCTTCTCTCAAAGAACACATTCATGTCTGCTCACCTTAAATGAACCATAAAAAACCCATTCCTAAGTTCAATGGCCAACTCGGATCAGAATTATTTTTGACTTCTAATAACTGTTATACCATAATTCGGGTGCGTTGTATACATGCAGTACGCCCCTTTTCCTGCCAGTTGAACAATCAATATCGATATACCTATTATTTCTTTATCTAGGGCTTTCTGAATTTGGTAATTAGCTTTGGAGATATTTATTTGAAGTCGTGGGACCTTGTGGGGGACAATACCAAACATTGTGATTTGTTGTGTGTGTGAGAGGGAAGAGTATGAATAGATAGTCGATTGATAGTAGATTGGATTGAATATAGAGACATCATGGGGTCTTTGTCAAATACATGTGTATGTGTAAGATGTTGGTTACAGTGTACGAAATGGCCCGAAATGGAAAGAGAAGATGGTGGGGAAAGAAACAATCACAATATCACACGACATCAATAATTGCAAAACATCAGTATTATTAATTAATTAATTAATTTATTATTGATAGATCAGTGGTGGTTGAATGATCTTTATCGTAATTTTTCATTCCATTTTCGATTGATTGCAGCGTAGAAATCGATTCAAAAATACTATCAATATGTAATATCTATCAGAGAAGCATGAACGATGAATAGTTTTTATTGTCGTGCACATTTTCACCTAATAACAACAGTGTATCCAACAAGAAAGAACATTACACTACACTGTATTGTTTCGTCACGCTCACTTGCAGCAATAATATTAACAGCGTATCAGCTGGATCTTTATATTTTTCTATATTCTGAGATTTCAGAATTTTGGGAAAATCGCAAATAAAAATAATAATTACACAAAAATAATTTAATTATTCCTGTTGGTCATTACTATACTATAACATACAAATGAAGAAGCACTCCACATCCCACACGTAAGCACAAGAACCCTACTGGTCCTCACTAATAATAATGACTTATTATCGAAAAATCAACACTTTTTTGATGTGGCTATGCGCACATACATACATCTCACACTCTATCAAATAGAAGCTTTAATTCTATCAAATAAGATAATGTTGTCTGATTGTTGTTTTTGATGATTTCTTTTTTAGTCGATCTCGTGTCTAAACAAAACTGTTTTTGCATTTATCGATAATTTATCTTTTCTAGATGATACCTGTCAAGAAAACATAAACTAACAACACATCACGATCAGTATTGTCTGACTTACTACATTAATGCATGTTTATGTAACATCTATTATTAATTTCTTTCAGATTCAGGTTCACGGTATATATGAAAACGCATTTGCTCCCTTCATCATCACTCCAATGTAAAAGAAAGAAGATAGGCAATTTCCGTGAAACAAACTCCCAGCTGAAATTCATCGACAATACAGAATAATTTCTATTTATAAAACAATTATATTACAAGAGTAAATTATTTCCCTTTTCCGGTCTCTCTTTAACTCTAGTGTTTACTATCGGGAACCCACGTAAAAAGCGAAGGAGTAATTTTTTAAGGTTCAATTAATACACGACAGCACTTTGTACGACATTCTCATTAAATTCTAACGTGTATATACGATTTTTCATGTTTTAGCTTTGGATTCCTTGGGCTGGTAGTTGCGTCAATGATTGCGTTTTTGCATAAATTTGTGCAGATGCTTTTGTTACGGAATTGATTGTGTATTTGTACAGTATATTGATTGGACAGACCGTTTTCTGTTACTACTAATGCTATACGACTGCTACGATAGTGCACGCCAAAAACTTTGTATCAATTTATTTCTTGTCGGATGTTCCATCTTATTTTTAATTTCATGGTCTGTTTGCGCCGCTGCAAGTTGTCAAGAGAAAGCTTACGCGTCTATGTATGTAGTGTTTGTGTATTAGAAAAAATCGAAAGACGAAAAATCGAGTCTTTCGTCGTTATAGGCGCTGTTGTACACACACTTTGTTAATATATTAACTCGGAAACTTCAACAATGTCACATCCCTCTCAATCTGATTAGTGAAGCATTGCGACTGTCAAACGTCATTTTAAAGTAATATGTGTACTACGTAAATAAAATATGCTATTATAATGTATTTCTAGTTTATGCGTGAACATAATAAAGTTCGCGCCTAGCAAGTTTTCTTTTTTAGAATTAAATTTATGCTGCTGATGATACTAACGGAGCCATGAGATCTGGAAAATAAAAAATTATGTAACATATAAACAAATTCCAGTAATTGTGACAACTTTACTAGCAGTATAAACTTTGATACCATTATAATATGAATTCTATTATATGGGCTAAGTGCAATAGAAACAATGTAAATTATTTGTTTTCAAAAATTGATTTTTATATTAAAACAATGAAAAAAAAACATATTGATCATTTTTTAAATTAATTATAAACTCTAATTTACATAATAAAATTTTGAAATATTGTATTTTAAAGTTTTTTTTTTTATATAATAATCATATAAAATGTGAAAGATAAAATACTAATTATTGCAAAATTAAGATTTTATAATTTACATTGTTTTTATTGCACTCAGTCCATATATTTATTGGACATTATCATAATAAACTAATGTTATTTTTTGATATTTACTTTTATTAATAGTTTATATTATAATTATTATTGGATAATAATTTATTATATTATATTTTTATTAAACAATAACTAAGATATTTTATTTTTAGAAAATAGCATTAATAATAAACTTAATAACAAGTTTAGCAAGCTAGATTAGCAATTATATTACTAGAAAATAATATAAAAGTATTAAGTAAATTTGGAAGATTTTTTTTAATAACTCATTTTTGTTTAGAAATATTATTTTCTATTTTTGTTAAATAATATTTGTTTGAATTTATATAATAAAATATATTATTATTAATATAAATTTTATTTAATATTTTCTTTATATATATTATTAAAATTATAATTTTAATAATATTATTATAATAAAAGAGTTATTAATATTTAATTATTAATTGAAATATAACTATATTTTTATATTTAAAGTATTAAAAACTTATTTCAGCTACTTACAAAAATGAATATATAAAAATAATTAGATAAAATTTTGTTTTTTTAATTTTAAAAAATTACAAATTAGTTATAAAATTTCTAAATTAAAATTTAATAAAATTGGAAAAATAAGAAAATTATTTGGTAATTTTGAAATATAATATCTTATAATTTATTGTTCTAATTCAAACAAAAAAAATATTATTTAATTTATCAAAACTATAATAATTAACAGAATTATAGAATTATATATGTCATTTTATTAATAAAATTATATATATGATTTTATAATTCTGTTAATTACTATAAATAAATCAAATATTATTATTCTTAAATTTATAAATTATGAAATATTATAGTTTAAAATTATTGAACAAATTTTTTATTTTTTTAAAAATGAATTAGTATTTTATAACTTACTAAATATTTCAAATTAAAATAAGTTTTTTTCAAAAAATTAAATCTAATTAGCAATTTTAAAATATAATATTTTATAAACTATTAAATTATTTTGTAAAAATTATTATTATTATAAGTCAAATTTTATTATTTCAAAATCTTAAATTCCTATTAAATAATTATATTTTTTATTTTATTAAATAATATTTTATTATATTCTTATTAAATAATTATATTTTATTGAATAATTAATTGTTATATTTATTTATAGTTATATCTCTTTATAGTTATTTTATTTTGTTTTTCTATTTATATATAAATATAATAAAAAAATTTCTTTATAGTTATATTTTCTTTATAATTACTTAAATTTACTTTTTTAATAGTGATAATTTAATTATAATTAGTTAATAATTATTTAATAATTATTTTAATAATGATTTTATTTTATAATTTAATTAATAATTTAGTATTTATTAAATATTTATAAAAAGTTATATATTTAGTTTAAAAAAATTTTCAACTTTTTATTAATCAGATTTTTAATAATTAAACTTTTTAAAAATGCTAATAAATAAATATAATTTTAATATAATTTTTTTAATTATTTTAATTAAATAAATAATTTGAAGAATAAAAGCTTAATTTTTTATTAATAAAATTATTTTTGATATATAAATAAATTTTTTATTATTTATTAACTTTTATTTATTTAAAATACAAAGCAAATTTATAGAAAAAATAATTTAAGAGATAATTTTTTATTTTAACTATAAAATTATATTTATTATTATTTGTTAATTTTTTATTTTAATTACAAAGTTATACTTATTCTTATATAGTAACTAATAAAATTATGAAATTATATATATGAGTTTATTAATAAAATATAATAAAAATAAAAATTTTTGTTTTATATCAAAGTTTTTAATTTTATTAATAAATATTTTATTTTTATATTAAAACAAAAATCATAAATTATAGTTTAATATATATTTTTTTGGATTTTTGAATTTTTAAATTTTTTCTAATAAAATTATTATATTTATAAAATTATTGCAATTAAAATAACTTTGTCAGAAAAAAATTCAGAAAAAATATATAGTAGTAATCAAAAAGAATAAAATACTAAAACAAATTTATTAATAGAATATAGTAAAAATATGAAAAATATGAGTTTTTCTCTTTATATAAAAGTTTTTAATTTTACTAATAAATATTTTTTATTTTTATATTAAAATATGTGATATTATCTTCATTTTAATATAAAAATAAAAAATATTTATTAGTAAAATTGAAAACTTTTATATA